TCTTTAGCTCGTCTGTCTCTTTGTTTGTTTGCATTTCTCTGTCTGTCTGCCTGTCTGTCTGTCTGTATATATGTCTGTCTGTCTGTCTGTCTGTATGTCTGTCTGTCTGTTTGTCTGTCTATCTGTCTGTTTGTCTCTTTCCCTTTCTCCCCACTGTCTCCTTATCTCTATTTACTGCATTTCTCGATCTTCATCCAACTTTTCTGACTTAAAAGCAGGTACCCACATGACATTCTTGTTCAAAGATCTCAAGTGCATTGAAGGTGTGCATGACTGAATAAGGTCTTTCAGATAAAAGTGAGTCATTGTGGGAAATCAGACGCTCGTCAAAATAATACAATCACAGAAATCAGCATCTTTTGGCACAAGGGCAATTTATTTCTAATTTTCTTTTTTTCTTCTTTGGCTTGACACCTTTTATGTTCATTTTAAAACACATTTCTGTGTGGATTTCACTCAAAATCATTGATTAAAGGCATATAAGGTGCAAATTTTCAGTTTTCCAAGGACTTTCAGGATATGGAAGTTACCAAACTTAGGCGGCTATTTTCTCGCTAATTTTATTTCTGAAAACAAGCGACCCTGACCTCCTTCAATCGCAAATATTTCAATTTCTATTTAACATAGATGGATAGTTTTTCACCAAAAGGAAGGCACATGGACAAGCTTGAGAATGATAAAAAAAATTCCATACGCCCAAAAATTGACCAGTGCCTGAGTCCACCACGCCGTGACATATTATGTCAAACTACAAACAACCAGACGAATAGTCATTTGAGACCACAATACAATTAGGAAGCATACACAACAGAGAAACTGAAATTCCCAAAGGTCTAAAAGTGTGCGTTCAAACAACCCTGTCCGTACGTCGTGTTTTACTATCGTATCCATACGACGTGGGGAACTCTGTGCCACCACTTAACCCTACCCATACGTCGTGTTTTACTATCGTATCCATACGACATGGGGAACTCTGTGCCACCACTTTCAAAGAGAAAATTTAGTCGTTAATCCGATCCGTACGCTTTGCTTAGCAGTGTGTCAAAATGATTTTTTTGAGAAATACTGAAAGTTTCAGAGATCTTCGTACTGGGGGTATTCTAAAATGTGACGAATACAACCCCGGGGGTACAAAATGACCCCAGGGCGTACGGATAGGGTTAAACAAGCGTTAACCCCCTTCCCCTTCCTCTCCTCCCACCCCTTTCCCCTCTTCCCGGATTTTGCGTGTTTAATAGCTGCCCATGCTGCCAATTTTTTTCGGTCTGATATCTAATTCCAGTCTTTCCGTCTACTGTATTATTATTGCTTTTTATTCTCCAGTCCGAAACTTTCTACTTTTTGGTGCATTTTATACATCACACGATTGTCAAGGTTATGGTTTGAGGGTGGTGAAGGTTGAAATTGGGTGTTTGCGTGTGTGTGTGTGGAGGGGGGGGGGTTAGGGGTTATTAACTGGGTATTGTCCTATATGCACCTCCTTGTTTTCTCTCATATCCGTTTTTGACCCACTGAAGTACAATAGAAATAACTACTGTATTGATGCTCTTTCCAAAAAAGAGGTAAAATAGCTCAAACACATTATCGTCCTTGCACGAGATCAAACAGACCGTAATAATACACAGTCGAGATCAACATAGACGGCGGCATGGATTCCTTTCAGCTTAAAATGAAGAGTTGAACTGTAAGTAATTATTGGAAAAAGTTTGAATAAAAACACACATTGGACATGAATGATAGAATAGAGCGCTCACCAGAACCTTCACGCATGAACGAGCAGACACGCACACAAAATTACGTAGTCACTGAATGGGCTCCCTTTCTATTGAATTAATGCAAATCAGAGAGTGTCTGCCCATACAATCGTCTGCCTGTCTGATTGCTTGCATGCCTGTATGTCTTTTCCTATCTGTCTATCCACACGTTTATCTATATGCACGCCTGCATGCGTGATATGCTATTGTTATGTATATTATTTCCCCTCTGCAACCAAATCAAGTTTCGTGATTAACCCAGCTTATGCTGCAAAAGATGTAAAAAATTACCTCAAAGAAAATGAAGAGAAGAAAACGAAGTTTGTTTCTAAACATACATTTTCAGAAAGAAAAAAAAAACAACCTCGAATAGCTTAAATAATCCTGGCGCTCTCCCTGCACTATCCTTCCATTGTTCGTAGCCATAGCGAGCTTGAACAATATA